GACGTATCGCATGCAGATGGACTGAGGTGGAGGTGTCTAGGCTTTGTGCAGTGCATTTATATAAACCGATAAACCGCAACCACCCTTTGGTCACCTGATACACTTTTGACTTTGGGTTAAACTTGATTTTGCTGCTTTTGTAGTTATTATAAATACGATGTGAATTCTTACTTAATAAAAGGGCACAACGTGCAATTGCTTTCCTTTTGAGCAGTGTGAGCAATACTGGAACATGCCTAGCTTTCGGGTAGGTTGTTGGTATCTTGAATGCTTGCGATATAGAAAAAGACTTAATATGAAAAACACATGCATTTCAAAATACAAATACCAAAATAAATTTACTACTGTTCCTACCCCTACTTTCGGCCTTTCGGCCATGTGAATTGAAGATACCGGGACGCATGAAGTAAAATCAGGATTTTGGGAAGGTAACACATGACTCCCTGTGAATGTTTTAACAAATAAATTCTTTTGAAACTGGAATAATTTAGGGTCATGTTAAAGGTTGAATTTAAGCACTCTGTTATTTTTAGATGAGCGTGATCAAACACAATCAACTCCTCAATTTTTTGTGAAATTTCATGGGAACTAATTGGCCTTTAAATCTACCCTATGGCATTTAAATACTTCTAATCTACACAAACATCTAATAAAAGTTTCGATAAATGTGGGGAATATAAGCTTTTTAGTGCATTTTTTGGAGTATCTTAAATGAATCCATCGATTTAGGAAAAAGAAGTTATGTCGCTTCTTTTTCCTCAGTTTGCTTTGAAAAGTCAGACAACAGCATATACTTTACTAAAGCTATTATTTACCACCGCTTGACACCAACGCATTACAAAATGCATCCCGTGCCTCGGATGACTATATTTTTGTAAATACGGACTCTGTACATAAAGTGGGCATGTTGGTGGTACTAAAGCGTGTTTCATTAGCGTTTTACTAGTCATGCTGAAAATAAAAGTTTTTGCTGCATTATCACATCTCTCGCGTATCCGTTAGGCGACAGATACTACTCTCGATAGTGCACGATGGTAGCATCTTTCCTGATGAGACAAAGTTCTATCACATTTCTACCCAAGTAGGCAGCAAAGTTTTGTAAAAAAGACCGAGAATAGCAATTGCTTTTTAATCTGTGAGCAATTATTAGGACTTAAGTGAGTAAATGCCATTAAAAAATTAGGCGAAATTGTCATCCTGTCAATCGTACTCGCCTTAGCATGAAAGCTGTGGAAACGGATGCCCCCCTCGCTGAAATTACCCTACATACCATCCAGTCCTGCTGACTCATCCACCCCGGTTAATAAAGAGTGGATTAGGACAGATTTCTTTTTGCTAAAAAAAAAAATAGTTACTGTAGCAACCTTTTATATGCACCTTTTTTAAATAACTAGACCTTAAATACATCGGTGCGTGCTACAAATACCATGGCGACAAAATTCTTGCGTTTACAATTCGAGTGTTCGCGAAGCGGGCCGCTGGTGAGCACATTTGATTCCAGGCAATGCAAGACCTGCAGGTCCTTGGAATTGAGTTGGCTCGAACAGTTGTACGTTTTCAAATGGCTCCCATTTATCCAGTCAAACTAGACTAGCAACAAACAACTATTTCTTTCACGCTCCTTGATAATCGTAACACGTATTACTTTATCCGTTGGAAAAAGTGGCTGTAAGACTGGAAGTGGTTTATAAAATCCTGACTATACGTAAAAGGGTATCGGAAAAAGGATATTAACTTTTATTGTTGTCTACCCTCAATTTTGCCTGGTGATTTAAAACCAAATGAGCGAATATTCTGCCGAAATACACTTACGCGTTATTGCGATAGGGATTTGGGGTGCTAAAAATTGAAGAATATGCACAAAATCGCTCTTAAATCTCAGTTTTTCTCATTGAAATAAGTAAAAAAAAAACTTGTTTTGATTGCACTGACCTTACATATGCCCCCATTTTGAGCTATTGAGCTGTATAGCACATGCACAAGGATGTGAGTCGCTGAAAACCATAAACTGCAGGTAAGACGTTAGTTCGGAGAGTATACTTAAGTGCGCATTACTGGCTTATCACCAGGGGAAAGTACCTCTGCTTCTATTTTTGTTTGGTCCAAATCATCCAAAATACTAACCTAATATCTTATATTTTCCATTTGCTTGTTGTTGAATGTCGCGATTATGGTAGAAAATAAGACGAATAAATCTATACAATTTGGGCTTCTCAAGCGGCGAAACACAGGGATTATGGGCTAACTTGATCGGGTTTGGCGAGATAGCGTGATAGCCGCACGCATTGAGTTGGATATATGGTGGCAACAATATTCGCCAGGAGGACTAAAAATATATTAAATAAACTACAAAACACCGAAGAGAATTTTGATTTTCATTGTTTCTTCATGCTGAGCTTTTCTCTTTAAACTGCACAAATTACTTTTCTCTTTTTAGGCTTTGGATTCAGCTCATTTCATGACCTTCTTCCGGAGTTTCCGGATCTACAGTTAAATAAAACCTATGACAGCCTTAAAATTGCTGCTATTTGGGAACAGGACTTGTCACGTGTCGTTTGAAGTAGCTGCAGGTGGTAGTAGCATCTTCAGCTAAGGTCCCGCCTGTCTGGTTGCCACAGTGACACTTTGTCTGTCACGGGGTGGCAGGGCCACAGCATTCGTCTAGTGTAAGCACGTGCGTGTGACCTCGTCTGTGCCGAGGTGACCTCAGGCAGGTAGGCGGGTAGACTGAGGGTTGTAGGGTTGGTTGTCCGATTTGTGCATGTCCAACCACTCTCAGTAGACATCAGAAAATTGGTTTAAATGCACAATTCTCAAGAGGGCTATGTGTTTGGGCGTTTCCCTTCCCATATATAATCAGATATCTTTTGCATCGGCATTCTTCATTGTGGCTACTTTGGCTTATCCTTCTTAAAATTATGACACTTTTTCCTTCGCCATTATTATGATGACGTTAAATCACTATATCATCAGATCAATCACAGAAATGCATGCAACTTGGAGGAAACTTTTGTAGTAGGTGATTTGTCACAACTAAAGAGACCCATATAATGCTAAAGGATAATGATGAAAGAAGCATTGGAAAGAATTTAATGCAAGTTTTTGCAATAGTTTACGGGAAATAGTCTTACTGCTTTCAACATCGCTGCAACCATATCCTAGAATATCATATTGAGGATAGAAAAGTTTAGTGGTGTATTGCGTTTTGACAGTTCACCATATCAACACGTGGTGCTTTGTTATGAGGCCTTGTCAGCGTCTCCCCAAATTTCTAGTTGCGCTATAGGGGGCACATCAACCCCCTGGTGAAGCACTGAAATCAGAATACAAGGCTGGCATTGTTGTGCGCATATTCGCAAAAAATACCAATCTCTGCATTACATTTTTTCACCATTAATCCAGCTGTCATCGCCACCTGTGATCAGGTATATTATCGTGGAAAGTGAACATATGGGTTAAATTTTGACCGTTTAATTGCATCAAACTTGATAAAACGGTGGTGAGTTAACGGCCATTTGCAATCGCCCTCATATAGGCGTTGCAATTAAGTCACCTCGATAGGTTATTCATAATTAAGGATTAAAAAAGCTGTGCTCTAAGATAAATCATCAGCACAAAGTCATTCTCAAGCGAAGAAGAATGACTTTCTGCTTTGAGAAGTAATATAGAGTTTGAAATCTTGGAGTTATTATGACAAATGAAAGAAAGAAATAATAGCAGTTTACCTTTTATTTATTCAGGTTGGTCGAGCTTCCACACTCTTGTTAAATTGATAAGGAGGTGTCGTGCTACCAATGCGGGCAGAAGTGTGGGCTCTGCAGTCAAGAGACCGCATTTATCGGGTCATTACCAGTAGAAGCACGCCCGGCCATCTGTAAACTCCCCATCATCGTTTTTTATTACTTATTAATGAGAACATTCCACTTTACAGATAATTTTAAGCATAATCATTAATCCGTACTGTACCAACCTGTCTGGAACTACACACAATGTTGCTTTCGATGAAGAGATAACCTTCACACAAATGAAAGGCAACTAGACCCATGAAAAGCCTTGAGAAACAGGTATATAAAAAGTTCATAAGAGATGGAATGTACAATGCACACCTCAAGACACTCTGACGACTCCAGAGGTTACTCCAAAGGAAAGAAGCTACAAACCATTGAAATTCTGGAATTTTAACTCGTATAGACTAAACACTCATTTGAAGCCCGACGATTGTGAACAAGACCTGTCTTTGCACAATAAAGTGCATTCCAAAATCAAGTCAGAATCTGCACGCATCACTCATATGGGCATGATTCGAATTACCGTCTAAAAGCCCTGTGAAAATTTGCCTTCTTTCGGCTACAGTAACAAACGCATTGAAATAAGACATCAGCTACTTTTATTCCTTGGCATGTTTACAAATGCTAACAGAAGGGAGGCTACAAATCCACTGAACTTCGGTAAAGCCGGGCTGTTACCTACAATTACACCTGCCCCGACGTCTGTAGCAAGCCGCATTCGGTAGCCGTTTATTCTGTTACCCCTTGTTGTAGGAAAAATAATATTGACTTGATGTTCAGATACCATGAATGCAGTCTATTGACGAATAACTCATTTCCGTGCAACAATTCTTTTTGAATTTCCAGTTTTTGTAGTTTTACAAGAGTCTGTGACGACTTCTATTCCTTTTGCGACTGTCAAGCCTTTTGGGTGCGTCGCATCGATTCTAATGATCGTGACTGAGGTTACTCCATTGCTCCAGACAACCATTTAGCCGGTTGCGTTTACGATTTCATGCTTCATGTCCATCATCCGATACCTCCATATCAGCTTTCCTCTCTGAATATTCTCTCGGACATCCAAGAATAGTTGAGCATTTAGTTTTCGGTTCACGTTTAGCCCAGAGTACTTTTTAACTGCAATTTTGGGGGTTTTTATCACAGTCATACTATCTATGCAGTATCAAACTTTAATCTCCCAATTGCCTCGGTAAAGTTGTCAAAAAATTCTGGTTAAGTGTTTTGCACGGGTGTAACAGATGCATGAGTGGCATCCACCGGTTTCACAATTTGTTAGTAAACTTCAGATATTATTTATTTTAGCACCCCTAAACACAGGCTAGTCGGTTTGTCTGAGAAAAACAAGGTAGCAGTCGGACTCATTGTTATAGGTACTTTTTGACAAGTACTTGAGGCAAATAATGACATTTGGTGTTTAAAATCAAGCATTAAGCATTTATTTTTATTGTTTCAGCGGTGATAAACCGTTAATTGGTTCCGTACCCGACGGAGGTAAAAAATGAAGAAAGGGAGAAAGAAAAGTGGCATGTTAAACAAGAGCGGGGTACTGGGGGAGGCAAACAATTGCGTTTCTAAAGCACATTATTCAGAAGTCTTAAACATTTCGTTTTGATACCTTGAATTTGATAATGGCTTTCGACTGTCATACCTAGACGCCAGTTAATGGCTTCATCTTTTCGTGTTGCCTGTTTGCGTTGATAAAAATCACTTGCGTTGCCTCTCAGTCCACGCACAATAATGTTCTCTGATGCACTAATCCATTTGTTCGTCGGTTCACCCGCCTTTAACATGGAAAATAATTGAACCATACACTTATCACTACTTAAAATAGAACTTCTAATGTTAAGTAAGAAAAAACGTAGTTCATAATAATCACTGCAAAGTTTTAGTTCCATTTTCTAATAAAGAGGGTCTGTCATTAAGTATGCTTGTTATTTTTTCCCATGCATATTTTACTATGCAGTGGATTTTGCCCATTGCAAATTGGCAAGCATTGTGCTTTAACGCGGTCTTGTTTACTGGAACCTATTAGGCCTCATTTTAGCTTATCATTGAGGTGCGATAGGCTGGTGCCGAGTTTCCTTAAAACGAAATTAGTATTTATTGATTCACTTACGACGATATCAAAAATGAAAATGAAATTTACTGAAACCAAAAACCTGGATCTGCTAGTTATAGCAGTGTTTCTTACAATAAGACTGCTTAGGCCTCAATCGGTGCTTGAAGGTTTGCGCTGAGCGTGTGCGCTCTGGAAATGCGCTTGAGTCGACCAATCGATGGGCGCTGGTCGGTGCGCTGCGGCGCGTTTTCGATTTTCGATTTCTCGTGCGGACGCCCCACCCCTCGTTGGCACTCAATGAGCTCCTCAAGTACACGTCGAAATGGTGCTGTGGGTGTTAACACACGGAGCAGCAGAATGCATCTTGAAGCCAAATTCTTCAACAGTAGTTTGATGAAATTCGAAGTACTGTATATTTACACAGTACATTTATCTGGAAAATAAGCAGAAGAACTAATGGAACCCCGTCTTCAGGCATGCAGTCATGAAGCTTCTGTTTTTCACCTGATTTTTTACTGGAGGAAATAGAACGTACGCCCTCTTAGGAGTAGGGAGACAGTTTGCCAGGAGTTTACCAAAGCAACATAACAGTGCCTTTGTTATCAAAATTTTGGGATAAATTAGACACTAACCTGGTTATGCTTAACTCTGTTCTTTATAAATGAAGTAAAGCTCAAAATCTTCCATTCATTTTTATCGTATGCAAATCCTGAATTTCAATCGCATTTCTCATTTTTCAAACTGAAGATATTTTGCCTAGGCATATTAATGAAGCTGACATGGCAAATCATCAAGTCAGTCATTGTTTCTGAGTGTTTGTGGTGAAAGGTTTAGACATTTTCCTGGGCTGAATGGTAAATGGTTTTGTGAATAGGTATTTTCTTAGTTTTTTATTATTTTCTTACTCTTAGTAGTTTGATTACACCAACAAAATGAAGATATTTTAAAGTGGACGTTGGTTTGTCTTGAGGCTAATGATACATCTGGTGGGGAGGTCAGAAAAAAAAGGCATTTAGACAAAGCATTCCTGTTTTTGACCCTTATTGTATTAAACAACTAAACACGTACACTTATAGAGGGCCCAATAAATTCTCCATGGACTTCTTCATTACCACTCCTAATTTTCTTTCACTTCTAATAACAAGACAAATTGAGTGAGGTACAAGTTCTAAAGCGATTAATAGAGATAATATTGCAGCTGAGCAATTGGCAAAGATCACCTTTTTCGTGGCATTGAAGCTCGGAATTCTCTTTCATTTCCACTTATTTTTATTATAGGTAATGGCACCTCATCGAGCTATATGCGTCTATTACTATTACACGTTCTATTATTAATCTTGGCCGTACTTTTCGGTGTAAAAAAAGCGCCTACATTCCCCAAAGTACGTCTTACTACGCATAGGAGGCTACCACTACCCAGTGGCCGGGCTTATTCACCGTTAAAAGTGCGCTGACCAATGGGGTGAAGACAAGAGGGAGGGAGAAATGTGGAGACGAGGTGTGTCAGAACAAGTGTGTTCCTCCAGGTATTGCGAGGAGGCGCGAATTCCAGTGGCTGGCTCTAAGGCGTAGACGTAATTGACGTCTGTGTAAATCGACCTTCCTCGAAGTTGTGTGTGCTGCGTATGCTACCGTGCACAGCTATAAAGGACGAACCGGTTGGTAGCGGTGATCTGTACCATTGTCTCAACACAGCTCCGTAAGTGCTCACACACATCTCATTTCTCCACACTTATCATACTTACTTTTATTGCCTTTTTCTGATTGATTTCCTCCCTCTAATGCTATTTAACGTGATTGGCTGTTTTCACTCCTTGTTAGGTGAATTGTGGGCTATGAAAACCTGTGTTTATGCGCACACCTGTATTAGAAATTCCCCCACGCATAGCCAGCACGTTCATTGAAGTTTAGACTCAGGTTATGTTGTTTTGAATAAAACCACGGAAATGCGATATTCGAGCCGCGTCCGTTTGACAGATGGTCCCATTTCAATGCGGTGTCACATACGTTCCTGGGTAGAAGGTGCGCTCCTATTGGCAGAACTCACAACGAACGGGTGTGCATGCGTGCCGGTTAAAGTAGTGAATCCTCGGCGTTTTCTGGGTCAGCGAAAACAATCCCCTTATTTATGGTTGGCTGTGGGCGGGTGACTCACGTGCAATAGCAAGTACACTAGGGACAAAGGGCCTTGACAGTGACACCTGGGTGTACGTTGTAGACATGCCAATCAAGCTTGATTTACAAAGGTGTCAATTTGGCCTCTAGCTAAACTAAAGAATAATCTTTACTGCAATCAATATCTTGCTTCACGGTCCAGATATTGTTCGAGCTCTACCAAATGTGGGTCCTGCAGTCTAGCGACTCATAGGTCTTTCACATATTTTTTAGGACCCGAGGTCATTCAAATTCAAAATTTATCTCAATCACTATACAGTAATAAAATTGCTATTTCTGACACTGGTCCTGTCGGTGGATCATAAACCTAAGAGCCGATTAAATGGCCAATCTGTTGTAATGAGAGAAGCGAGATTTGGCTGATTACAGTGGCGAAAGTGCGGAAGAGATGTATGTGCACGCGTGGTTAGTCTTGGAAGGCGCATGCAGAGAAGAGGCGCATGGGCTGAGGTGGCTGCGTCATCGCCCCGACACGTATGGCGTGTGCAATGAAGTGCGGCCGGCTGCGTGCGCACACACGTCCGCACTTGCAGCACGCGTCACTCCTGGCCTGTCTGTCTATTGATTTCCAGCGTGCATGCGATTCTGTGCGGTGTGTTTGCTGCGCGCATGCGCGTGTGCGTACGTGGGTGCGTTGTGCAGGCTAAAGGATAGCCTGACACGCGCGTGCATGTCGCGTATACACGCCCGGCGTTTCTGCTGACGTATTCGCTTAGTGCGTGTGCGTACGTGTGTGCAAGTGGGCGCGCACCGGTGCGTACGCGTGCACGATCGCGTGAACATACGATAGTAAACAGCCTGGCACTATTCTGCGGCTGCTGCTATATAGGGCTGGGTAGCCTTGAGTAGGGACTATTAGCGCATCTCGTCTTTTTCTACATTCCAGTCATTGTAGGAACAGAACGGATAATCGCACGCTCTTGGCACCGTTTCATTATTCCATAGAAGTAGTCGATAGTCTTGAGTCATGTCTACCACCGTAGTCAATCGTCAAATTGTACATCGACCGTTCCGCAATGTCATTCAGAGTTATTCAGGTCAAATTGGAAGCGGCGGATCGACGATAAGCAAGGCCAGCTCACACAACTCTTCCGATCGCTCCCCCAACGGAATGCTGGTGGCATCAACGGCCACCGCGACGGTTGTCCACCGAGAAGAGGCCCTTCTCGCTATCTACGTCCATCCGACGGATGCAGGAGGTGTCGGCCACTACAAACCATTCCTACTGCCTCCACGCGCCCCTGGCGAGAGCTCTCTCGAAAAGGGCCTCGGGTACGGCGCTTTCGGCGTGGTCTGGTAAGCTATTCGTACCCCCTTAGGGTCTCACTATTGCTTTTATAAATATTTCCTTCTGTTAAATTTTACGTGTTGAAATGAAAGTCTAATTTTGCATGCCCAAGCCGAGTTCTCAAGTATTTGCGAATGTATCCTGATTTATTTCATAGTAGGTTTAATTGCCGGCCAGCTAAGGAGTCTTTATTCTTGCCGAACGGCGAACGAAAATTTACGTTTTTGACCTGAGAAGGTTGAATGGTTGACCTGCCACGCAACTTTTAGCTTGAGAGCAGGATGCGTGGCCTTAGCTAAGTCCTAGTTTCGTCGCACGCGATTCATTAGTAACTTTCACCTAAAGGCGAATTATAACAGTTTTATCTGCAAAAACTACCTAGTTTTCTTATGTCTGCGCTTAGTATTTATCAAGTAAAATTGACCACCATTCACCGAGCGTGCTGACATCTCAAGTTCCCCCTGTGGACCTATTTTTTACCTCAATCTACCTAATAGGCCACACCAGGAGGGATTTAGGGGAAGGATTTTATCTTTTGCGTCTATAATGTACGGCCACACCCACAGTTTATTCGTTGATGGGACACTTTCGTGCCAGTAAACTTTAGTCAATTGATTGCTCTGCATGCATCACAAGCGCGCCTGTTCTCGCACCATTCTCGTGACTCATCATTACCACCTTCATCCCCACCTTTTTCCCCCACTTTTACATTCTTGCTCAAACAGCATAGGTGACCCTACTTCTGTTTTGCATAACAATACAGTGCTGGTATAAACGCTGAAGGTTAAAGACTTCGAGTCGCCCCCTTTTCAGGTCGGTCATCGACCCGCGGGATGGACGCAGAGTGGCGTTGAAACGTATTCCCAGAGTCTTCCACAATCCGATCACAGCAAAGCGTGTATACCGCGAATTAAAAATGCTTTCCGTGCTCCATCACGATAATGTGAGTCGCCTCTTCTCATTTGCTTCTCCCAACTACCCTGATATTCGAATAGGCTTTAACTTTCCTTGTTTTCGCTTCAGATTGTCTCATTGATTGATGTGGTAAAATCAGACAACTACTCCAACTTTGACGAGGTGTATCCTTTCAACTGAGTTCTTTATCTATTTTAGTCCATACGAAAACCACTTCTTATTTTTCCATAAGTCACATTAACTTCAAAATGTGCCTACAGAACCACTATGACATTTGAAGACAACGAACCATGGAATATGAAAATGCCATATTTTCACAAAGTTGAAAAATTAATACTATTGATAAAGGCGCATTTTTGGCGAATGAGCCCACAATCTCGGACGCTGCTTAGCTGAAATGGCCCGCATATTACCCCTAGCAAGAAAACCCTATTTACTGGTTATAGCCTTAACTGCAGTTTCCCCGAACAGATATCTTCTATTCGAGTTGATGCAGACTGATCTGCACAAAATCATCGTTTCCCCTCAGCCACTATCTTCAGATCACGTGAAGATATTCCTCTATCAAATCCTGCGCGGTCTAAGATACCTTCACTCTGCTGGTATTGTTCACCGCGACATCAAGCCCGGAAACATGCTAGTCAATTCAAACTGTCTCCTGAAAGTGAGTGAACTGTTGGATTCCTTTTTGGGTACTCCCTCGTTCACCTCTTCCACTCCTGTAGGAAAGTAAGGGTGGACACAAGCATGAGATATATCACCAGGTCACCACTTAGTGAGTGAGATAAGCTCTGTGTGGGTGCTCTTGTTCTTTTAAAGTTCAATTTTCCCATCGATATTACTCGAAGACCTTAACCTTACCTTCGATCAATGGCATTCACCGATAAGGTGACCTGCACAATATGCTGGCTATATCTTTTTGCCTTTTTTCACCAGCAAATTTATCGACAGTGTCTCTCATTCCATAGATTTGCGATTTCGGCCTAGCTCGCATGGATGATCCTAAGAATCAGGTTCAGCTCACCACCGAAGTCGTGACACAGTACTATCGTTCGCCGGAGCTCCTCATGGAGACCTCACGATACTCCTACGCCGTGGATATATGGAGCGTTGGATGCACGTTCGCTGAACTCCTCAGCCGTAGAATTCTCTTCCCGGTAAGGGCGATTTGTACAGCGCTCTATTCGATGCGTACATTCACACTCATCATCGAACCCGTTGGTGCTGACTCACTCATCCACAGATAAGGCGCCGGCTCTCGACCTACTTTGCCACCTAGCTCTCATTCGCTTCCTTGTGAACACTTTCAATCCAGTGGCCATTTCCTACTACTTTGTTTGTTGCTCACACAAAGCAAAGCTTTCAGGCTAGATATTTGCTTGAACTGGCGGCAATTTTTCTAGGCCCAAGGACCGTTGGAGCAGTTGGAACTAATCGTAAATCTGACTGGTACACCAACGATAGAGGACCTGGAGAATTGCCACCCCGAAGCCTGTTGTTTCGTTCTTTCCTTTCGTCCACGGCGTCCCAATCTCGCGTTCCTTTACTCTCTTTCACCGGACATAACCGGCGCTGCTGTGGAACTCATATCCAGCATGCTTCGATTCAATCCGGTGGGTGTATTAAAGCAGCGGAGCATTTTTACTTCTGTATCTCTTTGTTCACGGGGTTCCTTTGCCTCAGCTGAGTCAGCGGCTAATGGGGCAGCGGACTGCTGCTTCCTATCCACTCATCCCTTACTCGGACACGTGCGCGCTCCCCCTCTGCAATGCGTCGTAGGCTGTCCTATAATTTAGATAAGCAGACAGACTTGAGTTGGCGCATACTTAGGCGCGACGTGGGGACAGACTGAGTCAGCTGCGAGCGTCCATGTGTTGCGTTTGTTACCTGCCCGCCCGCCTGTCTGTCCACCTTCTCTTCCCACTGTACTAGTCTGCGCGCGTTTGCCTCGGGTTACCGGCGCCCTGGGGCTGTATGTGGATGTGGTGTCCTTACTTTTGGATGCCTGGAGAAATGCGCAAGTGCGTTCCACTCGGCCACCTTGCCCCAACCACCGTCACGTACGGAGGAAGCAGGGTATTTTTAGTAGGCAGTTCAGGCGAATCAACAACGTGATGCGGCTCAAGTGGACCGCAGTGGGACGAAACATTAATCGCTAAAAATAGTAATGCGTTTCATCACTGGCCCATCTGCATCCAATATTAACTTCGGGATATCGAAGGGTATGCCAGCCTGCCACATTTCTGATTTTTGCGCCTCAGCTCCATGGTACATGTCGATCCATTCGCATGGCACCCAAATAAACACACTGTTTCACTAAATATAATACCTCCGGCTGATCAACAACATGAATAGTCAATCCTATGAAACTACTACTTAAGCAGTACTAATTCGTTCTCTTCTTTTTAGAGCAGTCAAGGGATGAGATTAGGATGGTAAAACTCTACCATAAAAAAATTGTAATTCGATAAAAGTTAAGACATTCTAAATAGGTTTTACGCGGCATGGGGCAAATGTCAATGAAATAAAAATCCATAAGATAGGCAAAAGAGAGTATGAGGAACAAAGCAGAATGCAATACACTTCTCTGGAAGGCTCTAACCGAAAACACTTTGTTTTATTTCGAGGTGTGTAAGAGTCCTCCATGAATCAGTTCTGATGGTTTTTGTCGGTACAGAAGGCTCGAATTACGGCGGAGGAGGCATTGAATCACTGCTACCTAGAGGAGGCGAGACTGCGATACCACTCGTGCATGTGTACCTGTTGTCACGACGTGCCGGTGACCCCCACGAGTACCCAAGGAACCATGAGCAGTCCCGGTGGAGTTAGTGACAATGGGTCGCTCTCCTCAGCACCTGTCACACCCACCAGTTCCATATCCTCAGCCGCCTCCTCGGCCTCCACCTCGCCCGCCGACACTCCCGGCAAGCAGCAACAGCAGCGCCCAGCAGGAGTCCTCACTCGTCGTAAGTTCTGCCGCAATCTCGACCCTATAGCCAACTTTCTGCTGCCCCTCGACCTCGACTCACACTTCAAACGCCTCTCCGATGCCAAACGTAAGTTCCTTCACTTCGTCTATTTATCCATTCAGTCCACACTTTTGGGAACTGAAGCGTCGACAAGCATAAATTTCAAATAGGGATTTTTATTTGGCTAGCATTTTCACGCTGTTGCGTTACAAGTCCATTTAGGCAAGTCCTTTAGAAGTAAGCAACGATTTTCATTCCGGGTATTTGTTGATGGCTTAGTTTTCCTTCCCAATTTATCGTTGGACGACCCCAATTGGATTTATTCAGATTAAATAAATCGGCCATTGCCATCCAGAAAATGCGCGAGAAACATTTAAGTTAACCTAGGTTACTCACTCTGACGAAGAAAGACACGTCTTCGTAACGGGTAATAGCTAATCTCGTAGGCTGAGATAGACACCTTTCAATCAGCCATTTAAATTTCCCTGGTAAGGCGGGGCACTGACTGTGCCACTACAACGGAAAGGCGGTATCGGAAACTACCTTCACTGCTTAGTCATCCTGGTTACATAATGCTGTCGTTAGGGCGGTTCAACGTTTACACCTGGAGTAGGAACAATCAAAAATTCAGTCACAATGTAAAGGTGGGTCTGTTTTTCACCATCTTAAAAAGCTGTGATCCGTTTCCTGTCAATGGATTTCACATAGGCAAAAAGATATTGCTTCATCGTCCTAGTTCTCACAGCAAAGTGACTAGCGAAAACGAGATTGAACCCTTTCATTTTTGTCAGACTAGTCATGGAGATCAATTTGATGAGAGAATTCCTGTTAGCAACATCAAGGCCAGTCATTTATGTAACTCCGAGCCAAACTTTCTTGCACAGTGGGGTCAAATATCATCTCTAGGCAGAGCAGACCAGGTGATCAAAAAAGCGCGTTTTATTTTTGCCCACTTCCAGGCTAACTGGGAGACGCAAGTGCTTACATAAATTCTTAAAGGTTCTTTGACATTTTTATCAACAATACACCTCAGTCTTCAGTTGACCTTATTTACAGCTTCTGTTCATACATCGCATTAAATTACTCAAACTTCTTCATTTCAGGCATTCTCTGGGACACGTTGCAGGAATATCATCACCGTGACACTCGGAGTGCAAAGTTAATTCTCAATAAGAATGGTGCTAACTATCGGGCTCTTGTCACGTAAGTGACATTGACACTTAGCCTCACATTTTTCCAACATCACTCGCCCTTCTGTCAAGCTCGAATGCGCAAGAACACACACAAACACTTGCACTGCATCCAAGTAAGAGGGATTTAACAATCCAACTGCTGTACACAGGGTGCGGTGGGGCACTACCTTGGGTGCATGCGAAAGCTGCAAGCATTGTGGGGAAGGACTGATACCTCATCTGAATGCGATTAGCATCTGCATTGCACGCTACGGACATTGTATTTTGCCATCTTAAAACCAAATCTCCAAAGGTTATATTGGAGAGCCATCTCAGAATGTCCTAATAATCTGGCTTTCAAGATGCTCTTCCATCTCCTCTTAATAAAATGCCATTATTTGTAGCCAATATTTGAATTGGCACTCGAACCGACGAGAGCGCTATTAATTGCTTTGACTGGTGTGCTAACAACTTTGCTGTCGAATCCTTACCATCATGTAGACCTGCCAAAATCAGCAAAACTGTTGTTGAAACGTGCTGCAGTGATTAACATAGCCATGAGTGGTGTAATTTGCACGAACTCTCTCATTCGCTTTAACTCATGGTTTGGTAATCGCATTACTTAAAAATAGAATTTTTATGTGCTGAGATTAAAGACTAAATAATTTGGTATGGTGAATAACTTGCGCTCGCACAATTATAGGCCAGTGCATGTTTCTGTTAGAGGTGGTTTGCATGCGCAAACATTAACCTGAAAAGAGCAGCCATGGGTGCAACGTTGGCGTCCGCATAGACTAGAAAAACTCAATTTCAATCGGGAGACCGTAAATTCAATTGTCGCATCTAATTTTTATCGCGTCGCGGATAGGTAGTCCATGTTATAACAGGCGTATCTCTTGTAGGTCAAATGTAGCTCAAGCGAAGGAGATACCGGCGGTGCGTCGTTGGCGCTGAAACGATTACTGACTTCGCACCTTCTCCTCTAAACATTGCTTGTATCATAGTCTTTTCACCAGTATTCGTTACGCTCTGATCGGAAGCGCACTTGTTTGCCCTCCAACACCGTTCTCCTCTCCACTCCCCTACCATATCCCTCTAGCAATATTCATTTTATACACGCGTTCTTTCAACAACAGCAAAAGCAGCAACACCAGCATAATGGCTGACTTTGGGATTCGTTTTTTCCTTGTTTGTGTTAACTTATTTCTTTTTCGACAAGCTGCTTCCGTGTACGTATGTTCAATTGCGTCTCCGCTCCCACATCACTTTACCCCCCCCCCCCAGCCCCTCCTATATTGTTCAACGTAGGCATGTGTGTTTATCTAGGTGGACCCTTCTCAAGTTAACGTACCACTCTTTCAAGCCTTCTGGTGATATTCGCACACACAAACACTCAACTTTCGACTTTTAGGTGCGACCATTCATCATTGTACAAATACTTTGCCAACTGAATCCTTCCCTCATGCGCGCATTGCACTAGGTCCAGTAATTATGTTATTCCCTTATTTCTTGCATTTAACCTGACCCATTACTCCTCTCCATGTCCACTCCTTGATGGGTGTTGGTTTTCGTCCATTCTATCCCCCAGCCTCAAAGACTAGTCTGGGCCCCACCATCACCATTGACACACCGTGACTCATCTCATTTCTACACCTATTTATTATTTGTAAATTGCACCAATTTCCCCACTTTGTGTACGGTATGTACCTGAATATTAAATGTACGTACATATTTGGCCGCGCGGGAAATGCTTCGACATCTTTTCAGGGGCTGTTGGCATTGGTTCAGTTGCATGTTTTAAAAAGTGCGCTCATGTCGATCAAACCAATCGCATGCAAGTGTCTGCGAGATTACCTAGTAGCTGGCCTTCAAGATTTCGACCGGATTGGTGCAAGCAAGATGGTAAAAGACAGTTGGGAGTGGCTTGGCAAGACTATTCTAACGAGCAAACGGTACAGAAATAGAGCGTTACAGTTATTGAAGTGATAGCTTGTGAGTCGGGACCGCCGATGGCTTTTACTACAAATGCCAACTGAAGCTTTTGGGGGCAGGTGTTGAAACAATGCAAATCGAGTATTCCGAGTGTTTCCTTCGTAGTGGAATATGTTTCACCGTTGATGATCAGCAGCATACGAATAATCTTTAATCGTTGAAGAAGACCAGCTTCACATACATTTACCAGGATTCCCATCTACCATTCTGCTGCTTCGTATTTTCATGATCCCAATTTTCGAAGCTGCATTGTAAACAAAACTAATTAGATTTGCTGTGGTGCCCGTCAGTTTTGCAAAAAAAACAGCTTATGAACTAGTTTATGATTATTCTGTAATACTTTCCAGTGAGGCTTCATCAATCAGTTACGACAGGTGTTCAAGAAATTGACACTTTTGTCGCATAATAGTGGTGTTCGGACAAGATCCACTACTGTGTTTTCTCAAAACCACTCTTATTGGTAAGCTAAAAGTGAGATAACTTCCAAGAAAGTATTATATTCCTTACTGTTGATACCCGTTCTCGGGTTCGACTAAATTTTGACACAAAGTTCACCAATCAAATAAAAGTGTGTCTGATCATAGTAGATGCCTAAATACCTTTTAATCAACTAGCAGTTTAACAAGACCGCGGATGAATGAAGATATATTGACTCTCCTCCCCTCCTCCACCCTTCAAGGCAAAATGCGTGTGTACGCTGAGTTTGACTAGTTGAATTAATTAAGGGCCTGTCACACACGGGACCTTACTAATTGGTTACGTTTTGCTCCGGTGGATTGGATTAGTTAATGCAGAAATTGCCAAAACCTGGTCACTACATTAGGTTGTTTGATGGACTCTTGTCTCCAAACAGATCATGTATCGTGATTTCCGGCCTCGGGCAGGTAAACATAACCTTGGGCGCATCAGCGACAATCGGTGGAGCGCAAAGCGAGGGACTCGCGCGAGTGGTGGCGTGGGGTGAGCACACGGTGCCACGCAGGCTCCCACGTGCACACACTCACCGAGCGCGTGCACAATCTACACCGGAAGGGTACATGCGCAAATGCGCTTTTACATCACCTCAATGATGAACTCATGTTCGCCAAACTGAGGCCCTGCCGTTAAACAAGCATGTGACGCATTAGGCGTAGGACAAGAGTGGACTATAGACAGCGGTGAATAGCATGATGCAGTCATGAATGTAGGCTCTTTGGCGTGAAAGAAGCCAGAGCAGCTTACACCAGCTAAAGTTCCATTGGTTGATATAGGTCAAGTAATCTGCAAGTTTAGTTTGATTATATGCTTAGATGCTAGAAAGCCTAGGGAAACAATCCCTCCGATAGGTTGGATTTTGCTTGAAGTTAAAATGATGCAGGGTAACGGCAATTCTACTGTTGGTCGGATGAGAAATACATGAAGAAAAAATGGAGACGATCTGTAATATTCTGCTGATTTGCAAATACATGGAAATCCTTATTTGAAAAAATTTAAGATTTGGGATTCCAAACGTTTTGCCAATGGGTGGTTCACCAGTGTATCACTACAAGCACCGATGGTCACAAGAGCGTAGATAACTTTTATTGAATTTTATTGGACTCTCAGGCTATATTTGGCGAGGTACAAATTAAACGGAGCTAGAGCGCACTTTACTAGGTACCAATTGCTCAACCAAGAATATGGACTAAGATGTCGTCCTCCACTGCGTACGAGTGATCCGGAGAACATATGCCATATTTATGACCACGAAATAGTCGCATCGCCCATTATCTCACTCAGTGCTTTACTCACAGCTTGTCGTCCGGCCTTGCTTTTCCAGGCAATGACAATGAAGTCTTGCGAAGGAGAACACAGCAAGCAGAATATGTAACAAACATTCATGGAACTGAATTACTAAAGCACGCCTTTGGGTCGTGTAGTGGATGATACCAATTTATGGCGCTTGTAGGGAAGTATTTCGTATAAAAGAATGACAAAAATCGTTTTAAGTACTCGCTTACCATAAACACTATTACTTCCTCCAAAGGAGTGAAATTCAACCCTATTGGACCGCAACTTTTAATTCAGAATATCACTTTATTTATTTTGAAACTACGTAACATGCCCGTGTTTGAGGTGTTGCAGTACCTTTGAGGTGAGCACAGAGACCATCCCGACGGTGGGTGTCGACATTAATTTGCCGGCGGTATACCACGCCCTTGTGGTGGACGCATTAAAATAGAACTGAACGGTTGCAAGCAAAGCAGGCACCACAGCATTCGCCACTATGGTGAGTTTCTCTCCCTGCAGTTGGCAGATTTACCATATATAAGCGTCACCCTGCGATAATAGGAAGCTTGGCGCCAAACCGGCAGACTAATTGTACCTCCCACTAGCAGTAGTGGAGCGTCACCCATTATTTTACAATGAAAAACCATTAACTCTTGTCAAAGCACCAAAAAGTACACTGATAAACCCGAATTCATCAATAAGCTGGGTGCCCACTTAGTCGATCTGTGCGCTTGAGACGCCCAAGAAAGTCAAAATGGGATTTTTTGATGGGTAGCATTTGAACATCAAGAAATTACAAAATAAATAAATTTGTGCAAATAAAATTCCGAGGGTAAAGTTGTTTCAAAGTGATAGGTAAAAATCATCGCTCCAATCAGTGGTTAATTGGGGCCAATCTCGGGATTTTTGGTTTTGGCCAACGACTTCCATTTTAAACAAACATCGGTGTTAATTACATGCAGAGTGTAGAAGGTGGTGGGAACCATTTCTGGAAAGAATATACAGACCCAAAATATTATAGACAAGACAAGTGAATAATCCTAAACGCCCCAATCACACTTTCAGCTGAAAGTAAGCACCCAAAGTTAAGCGCCAACAAGCTTCATAAAAGCTTTTCAAATTTAAAGGGAACTTTAGAAGCATAAGTAGATGGAATTTGCATATTTCACAATGCATAAAATAAATTCGGAGGAACTTTCAGTAAATTCCCAGGGGGAATAGAATTTTTGAATAAATGAATGAATAAGTGCGGTAAATCATGTTTCAGGTTAAAATAAACCAGTTCTACAAGTTGAGTCCACACTACAGATCCGCTGATTAAGGCATGCCCTGAAGTGCTGCAGGATGTTGAAGCGACCACAGAAATACCTAAATCTTCATTGGCAAATGGAACATCAAAACAGATGGTCTGCGTAAATCACGACATTTTTCGGATGTGCTATAAGGCAATGGATATAAAAAGTGTGAAGCACTTTCTAGACTAACTCTAGTTTATGTAATCGGTTAAATGTTTATGGCTACACAAACACATCACCGTGTTTGTAATCCAGCTTAATTATATCACTACTCACAAAAAATGAACATTAAAATGCGCCAAATTACCTGTATGTATTCGGGTTATGACCACAATCAAGGACGCCTCTGTCCCTCGAATGTCACCGAGTTATGTATAATCTACGCAGACCGAGACCGTACTGGCATGGCCACAAGACGAGTTTGGAAAGACACTAACAAGCGGTTCCACGCATTAACGTTGAATTAAGTCGGAGGTAGGTGTATCATTAGATGTCGCCTAGTGTGTAGATGAACAAAAATGTTCCGATTAATAACATCTTTATGAGTACACAGGTTCTAACTTGAAGGTATCGCATTCCATGGAATTCACACCGTCCCAACACAAATCCAGAATGAGCTCGTTCCCAAGGCGCTGGCCTAGCTTCATGAACGTTATTAGCCATACGCCTTGCTTAGCCTTTCAGCAGCCACGGATGTTTTCTGCTGATTCAACTAGTGCATTAGATGTTGTGGGTCTGAGTAATATGACGACGTCTGGGTCATAGGTACTTGACGGCCCACATATCTGTTTGTCGATGTCGATACAAATATTTTGAGGTCAATCACTTGTATATAAACATACCCAAACACTCCATGAAGTCATCAGACACGGCTGCAAGCGTCGCAGTAATCCCATTTTCACTGTCTAGGTGCCCATAGCAATTTCGGTGACAATTTTAAATCGCAAATAAATAACCTTGGAGAATTCTGGGGAATGGATGGAAGGAGTAGGGTAAAAATCACAGATTTAAGAAAGATTCATATGGAATAAAACATATTTCTGAACTCACATACTGGTATTGATGTAAGATTGCGAAAACGGCCTCATATACTCAATTGCGTAAACAGGGCCAGACAATTTCAGTCTTGAGAGACGGAAAATAAAGAATTCTCTAACCACTCTTCTCGCATGTACTGATTGTATATTTAAGCTGGTCATAGTAACTCTGCGGGGAATTCGATTTCATGCAAACAATCAAACTTTAGTTGCTTGCGCATATGCGTGCACACGCTGACGTGGAAGCACCCCAGCAGTTGCGCCACGATGTGGCGTTGTGCAAAACAATTTGCCACTTCAACTACGGAGTCCTCAAGCCTCTCACATGACCACAATGGAATTCACGTATGTCGCAACCATCACTAGTCATCTTTTTTGACAGCAAGTGATTCTCCAGGCTTGGACTCTTGAAACCAACCTGCATCTCTCTTGTCTACATTCTTCACATAACTATTTCCGATATTCACGTGCAAAATGACTTGAGCCACAGAAAACAATGCTGAAATTGCTGGTAGAAGGGTTATATCCATTATCTAGAGGTAGTTACTTGCGGTAAAATCGTATAAATGAAAGTGCTATCATTCAAGACAGGTGAAGTCACATGCCTGGCTCGAAGTTGTTGCCTGGAGTACATAAAATGAATCTGAGAGACCGGATAGTGGAAAGCCTGGTTGCTAGGGTCCAACGCACAGTCCTCAAAGCGTATGCAGCCTAAGGTGACTAATTTGCATAAAAGGCTTGACGTGGGATGTAAAGAAATGATCTCGTTCGGTAAGAAAAGTACGTGTGATTAGCTATGCCTTTGATCGTTCTAGTGGCTATAATAGGGTAGCAGCCATTACAATGTTTACCCCTGTTTACTTCCAGACTTGGCTAGCGCTATGGTTCTTTGCTGTTCAAAGTTGATCTTGCTTTATTTAGCCAATGATTTTTTAATAAGTAAATGCTTTTATTGTGTGACCAGTCTGGTGGCTGTGTGTAGCAAAAAATCGGAGAGGACTTATTAAGTGTAGGTCCACAGGGTAGAGCTCGAGCGAGTGGATAAACCGAGCCCATGTTTTACATGTAACCGACTACCATTCAACCAGTCAGTCATCCTCAAGCCAAATTTCAATAGATTGCACGAAAAGTCAGATTTATTAATCCGAATGGCAAGCCAACTATTCCTACATTCAACTATTCCAAGTGAACAGACAAAATTTCACTTATCAGTTAAACTTGGGGTTAGGTCAGTTTGCCTTGGACGATGTGTTTAATGACCACTTTCGAGCGTGATGAAACATGAAGGTACAACTGACCCCAGAGGTGCCGAGGTCATTGCGCTGCGCGTGTGCGACCACGAGTGCCACCCCTCCTCCAGTGCCGCGCTGGACGCAGCGGCTCAAGTGGTGCTGCAGTGCGAACACAGGCACGCACAGAGGAGGTGCTGACGTCGCAGCACCACCATCATTAACCGGATCGGTAGTGTGAAGAGCCCCATTGCCTCTCCTGTCGTGATGTGGTCGTTTAATCTCGACTACACCGAGGGGACCTCTCCTCGCATAATGGATCTTTTTAAGTGATGAGAAGGGAGGGGACCCGAGAAGTGCGTCTACAAAAGGCTTGTACATCCAAGAGTCTCAGAAGGGCAAGGAAATAAGACTGAATGGCAAAGCAAAAGTAGCTGGACTTCATTGAGTCTTGTCACATTAAATGTCAAACGAAGCGGACCAGAAAAGGCATCATGTGTTATCGGGTTGGGATAAAGATATTTAGACCCCACAGAAAAAGTTAAAAAGGCAAAAATGATTTATATAGCGATGTCAGAGTTAGAGGTTACATCTACAATAAGGTTCAGTTTGATTACCTTCACCTAGTTCAGCTTGATTAAATTGTGCCATTTATGCATATCCTAAATTGGAAGTTGGGACTTTTTGCGAAAAAGACATTACAAGGCATACAAGAAACTAAAGTGTAACTCTCTAATTGCATTGCCTACTAGGAGCACCAAGGGAATTTTGATGTGGGAATATACTTATTGTTAAGTGTTGTATCCGCCTGATTATTTGGTTAAAAAGGGAGTCGTAAACAACTTACCATAATTTCAGACCCATTTGAGAAAGCCGCTCAGGCTACTCGTTACGATAAAATACTTGCACGTAAATTGGAACGGCATGTCGGAATCATCTTCATTCTCGAGATACTTTTAGCTCATACCGTCGATACATACATCAGTACAGGATACATTGTCATTTGTTGAATGTGGAAAGCTGTTTTCAAGTGAACACCTAATGAACGGGATGAAGCATGAAGTTTGTGCCACTCCTACAACTACGGAGAAAGGGGATACTAAATACTTGACCATGTTTACTTGGAATGTTTTAGCCTTCTGACGTGGAAGACAACAGACAAGAAACCAGCAATAACACCGAAAATCTGCCAAACTATCATAACCAAATGAAGTTACTGCCAGATTGATTTTCTGACAAACATGACTGCCTGCATAAATTACTATGCAAATTGAGCAATTGAAAGCGATCCTTCCGGCAACTAGCGGCATTCAAAAACCAAGAACATACGATACTCTGCTTCTGTGATGATTAATACCAAACGAAATTTCTGTGCGCTATGCATCATTACTAAGTCCTAAAGCATACTTCCAGTTAGCAGATTTTATAGAACAAAGAAAAAGTCATAAGGAGGCATTAAAGTAAACTCAGATTAATGTATTAGGCGCAATAAATTCTTCCCAAATTTAACATGAACCCTGATTAAGGGTATAAATACACACTCTAACGGTGTCACCTAGAGCACAAATGTATTGGTTGTGGTATGTGGTGTGAATGAAGAAAACAGCGTAGCTTCCAAGGGAATTCCAATGGCTGGATCGCTATCGACACAGAATCGACCATCAATACATCAAACTGAAAACACTTTGTATGAGCTATGAACTCGTTAGTCAAATTCCTTGAGCCTACAACATACTGATTGACAGGCCTGTGCTAGAATTCATTTGCCATTGAGCTCCATGTGATCTGAATGAACTGCAAATGACACTAGGAGCTGTTTTTTGAACTTTAAAATGCCTCCTCCCAGTAGCAAATGCACGAACTTGGAATAAATTTGTCATTTTTTTGATTTGCAACTAGTTTAATGAAAAAAATATGGTGGCGTTCAGCACTTGCTAAGGAGTGAATTCTATCAAAATGAAGTAACATTCACCGAGCCCAGAGAGGTGGCAATTTTACTACCAACTTTCATTTGGGTGTGCCAGCGAATCGACCTTCATAGACTTGGTTTACTTATCACATGAGAGGCTGCATTACTAACATCATACTAAAGTTCGCTCATTCCATATACACAACAAGCGATCGTCTAATTGTCAGATGGTAAATTTAAACTTTGGAGCTATGAAGCTTTGAAGTACCTTTAATGCATTAAGTGAAAACCTTTTTTGCTTAATTTGTGCGGGCAATAAGGCGAAGTATTTGATTGCGAGGCCAGGCCTACTATTGGAAGCATACACAAATTATCCCAAGACCCAACTGGGCCAGTCAAACCCTGACAAGTACAATTCCCCAGGCACTTTGATATAATTGCTCCATGCAATTCAGTGGAGAAGCCAAGAAGCCTCCATTGCAGCAATTACATCTTCTGTACTAAGTTCATACTGCACTGGAAGGAAGCTATTTCTATACCTGATGCATTTTGTGGGTAAGTAGTCGAGTGTGAACTGAAAAATAACGTTCTTGCAAAAAGTCACCTGTTTACTACTTTTCTTTCCTTCGAATCTACCCTGAGTTCAATAATCATGCATCAACTTAATGAACAATGCTATTGACATAGATATTTCCCTACTACCTAATCACGTCTTTCGTTTAACAGATCAGGCTGATTTATAAGGCGAAAGGTCTCCACAGGTGCCTTTTTCATTTTAGTCCGAATATTTCTTTAAAAGAAAGATAGGATCTGTGCTATGGCCCCGATGCCACGGTACCCGGAACAAGGATTGCGTTACTTAGGATTGGAATACTTCAAACAGCATGCCAAAAGCGATTCACTGGATTAAGTAATAGTATTTCGCAGTAGACCGGTGAAGAGTGTCGCCAAGCTCGTTACTTTTCGTGCGTGGGTCAGTATAATGCGCTCTGTACAGATACTTTTCCTACAGATTTTACGCGATTTTACACGATGTCGCAGTTTATATTGTGGAAGAAGTGGAACTGGAAACTACACAATTCATGCTTCCACAGATCATGAGAATTGCCTTTAATGTCACCTTCGTCCATTACCTTAATGTTTGTTCAATAAAATACTTCAAATCACCTTGGCTTCTTAATTTGTCGATGGGCTCAATGGTCCCAAGTTTAGAAAAGTACATATAATTCGCTACATGCCGACTTAATAATCCAAAGCCTTTTGCTGAAGGCAATGTAGGTAGCCTTCTATGTTCAACCCAATGAGTAAGCATGCTTTTCGTACCGTCTTGGGATTACGGTAGACCTAGACAGCACAAATCACCTGGCAATTGTAATTTAGGACGGGAGTGCTAAAAGTGCCATTTGGTTCTGGTGAGGGCCATAAAGTGCGTCAGAAACTGGGTTTCGTGTGCGGATAACGAAAACCGACAATTTGGTGTAATTAGGTCACCGAAGCTAGATACTGAACTTCTGTAGATTGGTCGGTTGAACATGACTGCGGACGCCCACTACTGACAACTGGAGCTCCCTCTTTTTTTTAATTAACGCTGATTTCGAGGGTTACTATAACTAAACCGGGTAGATGTGATGCGATGGAATGTCAGCATCGTTGATTAAATTACCACAAAGAGATTTGAGAAAGTGAAACAAAATAGCTTTTTTTCAGAGAAAGACCAAGGAATAGACGCACTCACCCGTAAAGTTCCCATGCACCAGGATAGTGCAGGAATTTTTAAAAAATTTGTCAGTACATCATAAGGCTTCCAATATACGAGATTTGTAGGGTGTCTGACGGATGGTCACTGTTTCTCACTCTTGATAGCCGGATTCGCCGACCTGGAGGAAGTCAGTTAGACCTCAACCAGCCTCTTCTCAGCATGAAACTTGACAATAGTGAAACTTAACAGAAAATACAACTGTTCACGGCTTTTAGTAATGTGAACGTATTCAACGTGATAAAGACCAATTGGTGCTGAATGAAAAATGAGTAAAAACCATTTTGGATTATTCAGTCCATTCGGTACCTGAAATCGACAAAGACTTTTGAGGTGCTTTATTCACCGAAATAGGTTCAGTATATTGAACGGAAAAAGTGGCTTTTTGTAGCTGCTGGTAAAATTACAAGGTTTCATGATATTATGTACGCCGCTCAAAAAAAACCCATCTCCTGAGTTCACTATTTAGTCCAGATTTCAATAATTGAGTGCAACCAGTGTCAGGCCGCTCCGTCTAACAGGTTGCATTCATCAGCCTACATAAATGATACAATTAGGCTTGAAATGGCGATTGCTGAGTTCTCTAAACACTGGGGGCATGTGAAAAGGAAGAAATATGCCAATGCTTCCAGCCTAGCATATCCATCGAAATCTCGTCTTGACCACTTAGCATGCTGTAGGAAATAGGTGATTATCAGCAACGTTTCTATTGGCTTCCACCGACACGAGGATTCATCAATCCCAAACATTGAATGAGTGGTCACTCTTGAATGTGCAAACCCATTTGCAGCCAAATCGCACTGGCGTTCGTCTGGTTCTTGGGCCAAAGAGAGAAACGGTTGTTGGGTTTTCAAGCATTCCTAAGTGGTTCCATACTACCGAATTAAGTTCAGAAGAAAATAAACTATCTTTCTGACCTGTTTTCTAGCAACTTCGTGCACAACAATCACGTACCGCGTGGAATGCATTCATGTCTACTTTCCTGTCACCATAAGCCTGGGAATTATTTTTGATTTAAAATTCCTCCCTGCTTAAAGGTTCGAGGCACATCTATTGCTGTAGCAAGCACCTTATCCTTTTGCCGTAGCTTGAAAAACTACTTTATGGAAAGGAAGTGTTTTGAAGGGTTTAAGAACATTCTGAATAGGATGAAAATGTTCTACCTTGTATCAAACATTTTACCGATCTTGAAGACAAAAGAAGTTTTCTTTTTAGTTTTGTACGAAAAAATAGTCCGGAGTTAACCATATCCATTTGCTTTTAAAAAGACGAAAAAGAAAACGTTATTTAAGTTTATCAAATCGGGATACATCTCCCAAACGCAGCATGATTCTACAGCCCCCAGGCGTCATTAACCATCTACAAAACAGGTTGTTTCGCATTGAAAATGCAAAAAATTCGACTTGGAATTCCCGGAAACTAAATAAAACAGGACACTACAGTAAGTTTTCGATTCACCTAAATAAGTGCTTCCAAAATCGAATTGCACCTTGAATAAATGTGTATAAGTGAAGGGTGTCGCGCCTTACTCCGACTTCTGTTAGCAAACAAATGAAGTGTCCTTTGCACGTGCTCCAACGTTGAGGTAAAAAGAAGTATGCAACTCGATGCTATTGAAAGATATACAAAAACTGAATTGTAAGTCTAATGTTGTTATGTCCAAGAAGGGCTCAGGCAGGTTTGTGCGCCACCATATGAAAATACACACGGTTACAAAGGCCTCGAAAAAATCCCCTTCCAACCACGAAAGGCTCCATCTTCCACAGCATAGCCAGATGGCTGACCTTTGTATTGATTGCACAGAAACTGATGCAAGATGAACAACCTAAATAACTTGTACTCCCACAAACTTGAATTGCCTCGAAATCGGTCACAGTCACCGGTAGTACTAAGGCTTCCATGGTTTTACGGCGCTGGTTTGAATGCATTATCTTGATGTTTCACAGTGGACCATCAAAATTGGTGGTTATGATAAAATTGGAAATAAGAAATAACTAGCAGGACCATGGACGAATACAGTAAAATTTACTCAAAACTTTGCACGTTTTTAAGAAGGACGTTGAGAAAGTGGCTAATTATTTGTACACAGAGAAAACTTGGAAATAAGGTAAGTTATGGCAGTGCGTAAAAAAATTTAGTGCAAAAGTGGTCAAATGAATCACATGACCAATAGACATTTTTTTGGAAATAACAACAAGTTTCAGCGACAAAGGTTATCGCACCACACAGCAGATGAAATAAAAAAGGACTGAAGTAGCATAAAAGAAGCGTCTTTGCTTAGGGATCGACTAAGTGAGCAAATGTTAAATGCAGATTTTGTGAAGTGTTTCAGTCGCAGTAGATATTTAAAAGAGTGCAGGTCATGGTCTGAGTTCAACGCCAGCCAGAAGTGTGACATCATGGAAGACTGTAATCCCCTGCCCCTGCGTAGACTGCGATGCGCGACCCTACTCGGCCTTGGCAGAGAAGCGTGAAATACGGGTGCTCGGCTTTCAATCCATCTGTACATCGGAAGTGGTTTTACCGCCAGTGAGAATGCTCATCATTGGTAGTTTTCTCCTTTAAAAGTAGTAAATATTACGATAGGAGAATAAAAACCCCTAATATCCCAACCCACTTAAATTTTCCCATTTTGGAACGGTTAGAGCGCCGTATTGCGCCATTTATTTCAGCATATCATTGCAGATGTTCTAGGATTATCGCCACGACGCTAACCGTGTATTCATTTGAGATTAGACGACGATTCGATGAAATAAAATGTACTTTGGAAGAAATGGCGAGTTTTAGAAGCTTGATTGCAACAAAATTTCCATTCATCTAGACTTCCATTTGATTCTGAATGGATAAGCAAAATTGTTTGAAATACGATAATGTATTCTTTGTACCAAAACTAATTCTTGTTAACATAAAATTCATTTATTTGAGCCACGAGACGCAGCATGGTTAGAAGTCACAAATGTGGTGAATAGGCACGGGAAGAAAAAATAACCAGGCGTTTGCAAGCCTAGACATTGAAGGCTCCACATACTTAAATCGGAAACATGTTGAGTGAAATAAACAGCAGATTCCCAAACACAAACACGAGTGTTGATAACTTTTACTTCCACTAATCGGATTAAATTAGATGCTTGGATGTCGACGTGGGAGTGGATGCATTTTCGGAACAAAGGAGAAGTCCTTTAAAGCATCCCAGCCCCCAAGGCAACAGCAAATGTACAGTGAAATGACAGTTCTCCATGACATGCTTTTATGGCCACAAGTGTATGGTGCCTTGATAACAGCATCGCGGTGCTGAGCTAGTTTTAGGAAGACAATAAACAGCAAATCGGGGAGACGGCAGTAGACGAGATTTGGAATGGCTTACCCAGTAGCGATAGAAATCGAATTACAAGCTCCAACAGCTGCGTAGGTGTCATACATGAACCTCTTGTTTAACGCATTTTGAGCAATTCTGTAACGAAACGATGGACCTCTTCATCCACAGGCTGCTAATGTGTGAGAGCACAAATAAAAATAATCCAACTGAGGACAAAATTTTGTTAGTCCACTGATTCTTAAGAGTGAGGACCGAAGTAGCAGGCTCAAGGCGGCCCTGCCTTTTAGACAAACACAAAACCAACTCGCGGTAAGTACATGCAAACTTGATTGCTCTTTGGCAGTGAGCATGCCTGATTGCGCAAATGAACCAACACGTTTATGTACAAATTATTTGCACTTGCGCATATATCACGCAGTTTTTCCCGGCAAAAAACCACTGCATTCTACGCTGCGACAAACATAACTACTGTTTATGCAGTTTACCTCCACTTCCTAGTCAATACTACCATTATTAACATTAATAAAACAGCATGAAAGTCAAGCTGCGCGAAATCAGTGAAGGTATCACTTCCTGGGTTATTAAATCCGGGTTAAAGTAAACAGATAGTGCCAAAAATAGGCATACACGATTCAGTGTTACATTTCACTCAGCTGCAAAGTTTCAGTCACACATTTCGGGTGTCCAACTTCGGCAGTAAAAGCACAACGACAAATGAAAAAAATTGGTTCAGCTTACTATCTGAGTCACACATATTCCCACTTTCAAGATGTTGAACCAATACCCATAATAATTATCAAAAACAAATGATTCCAGCATCAAGACAATCATTTTTGAATGTGATTAATAAATGTTGCATTTCGCGAGCTGTTCAGGCCGTTTTAGGGTTTTCCAAGGATGATAAACGGCTTCAGCGCCTACACAGTCACGTTGGAAGGAGTCCAACACTGGCCCGCGAAAAGGGGAAAGGCGAGTAGCCCAAGCCTATATTGGGCAGACTATTTTCAAGAATAAAATCTCTTGCACACCACAATCTTTCAGCAGACAGCCAACACAAAGCTACTATCTATTCCGCTCTGTTTCACTAGTAAATACTGCTAAAATTTCATTTAATTGGCGCATAAAGATCAACAAACCTGTCTTGAAATAATTTAGCAATCACTTTTAGAAAATTGCATTAATTTCCATTCTGCCCAGGCAGATTTGGCTTGTGCCAGCATAAATTTATGCACGCTAAGCAGCCCGGTCACGACACAACCTAGGCTTGAATTAATCACTCAATCATTAGTCCTTGAAAAGCCTTTCGGATTGAAGATGGTGTGAAAATTCATCTAAGCAGAATTCTCACGAGCGTAAGGTGTAATGAAAATCGGCCCGGTTTTGGAAGCGACCAGAACTGTTTACCCTCCCGATTCCCATTCGGTGGCCTCAAAACACGGTCCTTCAAGTGCGGTATCATTATCACTATAAGTCGCTGCTGTTGGGCGTGATCGGGATCAGTGGCGATAGACTCGCACCTGACTTACAGACCACAAATTTTTAGATGATCTTTATGGACGGATTATTCGCATTCTTGAATTAACCCGCATTATCTGAGGTAGCATGACTTGACAGTATCAATAAACTGCGGTTCGTGCGAACTTGCTTCCACAAGCCTGAGACGTAGTATCCCTCAGTTTAGAAGACACTCGACGCAGCCAGTAGGTATAATTGTAGCACTCAAAGTCTTCCCTGAAGTCGTAACAAACCATACCATCACGGATGGAAATTCATTATTTACGTACAGAAGGGCTGGGAAATTATTCACTCGCCCGAGGGACCATTGCACTGAGCAAGAAAATAACTTTCAAAGATGGAATGGCCTCAACGGTCAAAAAAAGGTAGGCAAAATATCAATTTAAGATAACAACACCACTCCATGATTACCTGGAAAAATAGTCAAAATACCGAAGCAATAGGAACACAAAGACCTCGTCTTACGATACCATTCAGTGAAAAACGCAATTCCCGAGTTATGAAGTAGCATAAGGGAAAGGAGATAACTCGCAGTCAGAAGCTGTCTGGTCAAAAATACGGCTCGGATGTGAATAAGACTATTTGTAATGGCATTTACAGTGTATAAATGTACGACTGACAAAAAGGTTTCAACTAATGTTTAAGCAATTTTTAAAAAAAAAACCAAAAAGACTTCCAGAATTACATGATAATTTTACATCAAACGGGTAGGATTTTTCCAACGAAACACTCATATATTATTTGATATTTGGCACATCACGTACCAACAGAGTCGTGGGTGAAGGCCCTAGCCACCGAGGAGAGCCATGATCCCATACTGCAGGGCCAGTGTAACAACACGATTGCAAAATTGTGGTGGCACCACAAGCGTGGCAGATACACAATTGTCGTTCTGAGGTTTAGATTCTCAATATACAACACATTGTTGTATATATTTGCGACCCACATAAATAAATACTACCCGTCATGATGACGAATCAGATCTCAAATAAAACAGGTTGGATGATCTTTCTTTCCTCAAAAGCTATTTACGCATGGAATGTCCGTCGAATAGATCAACGGATGTTTTCACCTTTGCATATGCAGTGCAGAGGAATAAATCGGGTGAACGAAGATGGGGAAGTAGAGCAAAAACCACCGCTAAGTCAAGCGAGTTTGTGGTGATAAATGTGAGACATCATGACCGGAATGCACTACAAAACCAATGAGGTTTGTAAGATGAAATTACTCCAATACTTCACTACTCGATCTCAATAAAGCATCATCAAAAAATTTACACGAGGGGACTTACACAATTGAGACGCCTTTTCCTACATTTAAACACGGTACGCCGAACATTGATTCATCATTGTACAGCAAATTTTACAGATTCGAAAATTACAGCTAAATCATTATAGCGTAAATGCAAAACTTGTTTTGCGTGATATATTAAATGTTACAGAATTTTAAGAATGCTAATGCCTTCTCTGATTAGTTTTAACGACAAAAAAAGGTTTAACAAGGCAGTCGTCGAAAACAGGGTCAACCGTGTCACCGGCAAGGACTTGGGTCTCGAAACTCACATAGCACCATCTACTCAAGTGGGTTCATTACGCGCGTGACTGTGACAAAAGACATTTTGAGAAACTAAGCTACTCGTGATTGTTTATTGAAAAAGAGAACGAGTATTTTAGACCCTCACGTTTCGTATTAGAAATAATAGATAACCCTCATTCGTACGAGTTCAAATTCCGCCTCTTCTGTACTGATAAGGAAAACATTTGTACCAAGAACGTGAGGGCCAGACTTGAGCACGCAAAAGTACGCAGAGCCTGCCCGCACCCTAATTGCCTTCGGACCTACTTCAGCACACCATCAGGTGGGAATCAATCGGCAGTGCATGAATTAGCTGAAGAAAGTGGTGCGTGTTGCAGGAAAGGTGAGGAGAGGCAAGGGCACCAGTCGTGCGCAACCAACCAGGGTCCCAAATCAAGGTTATTCGATGGAGGTAACCAAAATCACCTCATTTATGAAAAGACAGGCTTACTCTGGGAAAACAAAATAAACTAGCCACGAGCCTGATAAAACTATAAGGTAAGAGGGCTATTTGGCAATTGCAAATAGGCAAGTTAGGTAGTCAGTAGATCTGGAGAGTACTAACTTGATGACCATAACTCGATGCACAGAGGCGCGTATTCATGTTTTAGTAATCTATGCAACCAAAGGAACTAAAGCAAATCTGCTCAAACAGCTCAAATGGGAAGTCCTTCGAATACTACGCCTCACCCAAAGACAGCTTCCATCTACCTGCATTAGTGCACACGATAAAAACCCCGAGCTATGCCAAATCCTAGACGTCAGTTTTTGTTCCGTCAGTGTGAAGCGAATCGTAAGCCGGGGCAAAATCTGTAACAGGTTTAGGGTAGTTGTTACATAGGTGCATGGGGTCAAGATTTCTGCAGCCGGTAACTTGGAGTGATACAAGTACAACGTCTGCCTGAGCAGAGGCACCTCAGTTGCAGATACCAAATGCAACGCACGAAATAAACGGCGAACAGCGCAACCGTCTGCAATAATCTCCATTCATTCCAACGAAAGATGGATCTCATCACGCCACTTCAGTAAATGGAATTTTTAAAAGCTCGCAGCCAGTTTAGAATAACCCAATAGCTCAGCATTTGAGCTCTACCCTAGACATAACGGTTTTATGGGAACGCCTACTTAGGAAAAAATTCCTAAAATGCAACAATCTTGCATAGGGATACACCTAAATAGGCTAAAATAGTTCTTATTTGAAAGGGGGTTCAACAGAGGAAATTAAACCTTTTAAAACAGCCCAATTTAAGCCACCGCCAAAATTAACGTTAAGAAATACCCACATATACGAATAATGAAAGCAATAAAATGCTGGGGCTCCTAGAGTTCACAAGCAAATGAAACTCTCGCAATTTACACTTATAGCTAACGAATGTGAATTACAAATCAACCATGGGAAAAATGACAAAAAAAAAAACAATAAGAAAAGAAGTGAGTTATATTGACGACAGTGAGAGTACACGATAAGCGATGCGGATATTTATCTAAATGAATGGAAGGTGATACGATTTCCTCTGTATGAAGGGAGTAAATTACGATTATCCAACAATTTGGTAACGTTGGAATGGAACCATTTTTCCGGCTCTGTCACAGGCGTAAATCCACTCAGGTTTGACAAAAGTCAATGACGAGGAAACCTCCAGAGCCTGCAACACAAAGTGGGCGACAAACGGATGATAAGAAGCTCCAAGGCACGAAGACTAGCTGTAGCGGCAATCAAGGAGTAAAGGCCAATCAATTACACACGTGTAAATGCCACCTCAAACTGGATCGACAGTCGCATGGTATGTTTCAAATCCTAAATTAAATTTTGTCACCACACTGTTCGACTAAATGGGGAACCCATACACTAGGTCAAGTGATGCACATCAACAAATTTAAAATCGAAACTCAAAATTCAAGTCGAATTCGAGAGCAATTGTGGTTTTTCTTCCAACTTTTAGCTGGCTACTCGTAAAAAATATCAGAAAGTTTTCTAACGATTTCCCCGACACAAAGAAGATAAAACGAGTAAAATTTAACTGTACTATTCGAATTCAAAAGCATTAAAGTAAATTAGTGCAAAGTGCTCCAGATACGCGGCGTAATTGAGCACAATAATTTGATTTGAGGTAAAACAAATTTATGCGAAATGAGACAGCTCGAAAGCTCTTCGATGAATAAGCTACAATATTTTACAAGCAATAGAGAACAACCGACCTCAAAACATGGGCCTTTGAGGACACGAAACTTGTTGGCATGATGCTTTTAAGAGAACCAAAGGTGAATTTCGCCTGACTCGAGATGAACTGGAGAATAAGAAGTCAAGCCATTTGAAATTACAAATTTAAAGGAAAGGTAGGATGGCAAAGACCAATTTCCAAGGTATGAGGCCATAAACTTTAAAGGAGACAGAGGCGTGAATCACAACCACCCTACCCCTAGAAATGACTCAGGCAGTAGGCGGAGAAAGGAGGCAAAAAATATCATTTTTACAAGCGCCCAGGCGCGTACGGACAGACCCTCAGAAGCACACACTAAGAGAGTACGCGGCCTTGATGCCTGCCATGTGCAAAGGCCAAAAATAGAAGCGCCGGTGGCCAACAAAGGGAGATGTGGCGGTTAGTGCTAGGTAAGGGCAGTGGTGACGGTAGTGGCAATTTAAGGTTACATCTCAAAATAAGAGACACTCTCGCCCACTTTCCCCAAGTGGAAACAAACAACTTCCTCTGTGTGCAATGCTGTCTAAATTGCAAATGCCCATTTCTGTGTGCATCTAAGAGCTATTGGAAAGGCCGATGCCGATTACGAAGGCCAGTGCCTTGTTGAATGGAATTTATAACGAAGATTTTAGTCAAGAAGGCTGTGATTAGTACAGCTAGTCATCAGCTAGAACAAGGAATAATTCGTCAGAAATTGTTTAGCATATGAGAGACCATGAAAGCCAGAAAGTACGCGCGGACCCTTACTTCTCTAACCACCGCACTGCCGAGACTTTCGTATCAAATAGACATATCCCACTTAGTTCTGAAAGGAAAAATATGTGGCAAGTTAATTAATAAACAGCCAATTGCACCTGGAGAATTTTTTGATTGTACACAGTATCTTGACTACATGGAGATCATTATCGTCTCAAGCGGTCTTCGAAAAGCCATAATTTAACAGTGACTCGGTGGGTATAAGGTAAACGTTTCTGTAGCACACCCACATTGCAATCTCAAGCGATCTTACTCATGAATCATCCAATCACACACCGTTCGACAAAGCTGCGACTACCATTGAAAACCAAGCGAAACGGAGCTTATCCAGCCACTTAACGAAACCATAGAAGGGTTTTCTCTGCTCCCAATCGCACTTACGGTCCGAGAAATGTATCGAGGCTTTCTGTATCACGTGCTTCCCCATTCACAGTCCCTGTAGCGTAAGTCAATAATTACATCAGACATCACAATTGCGAACATTTTTGAGCCACGAATGTGCTGAGATGATAACACCTTTTGAAGCGTCATAAGCGCACAATGAGTAACTGAGAGCTCACTCAGGCAGCATCTTTGTAAATCATTATAAGTGGGATCAAATAATAGATTTTGGAACGTTTCAGTGAAAGGCAGTCCAAGGATGAACTGATTCGGTCGGCAATAGAAAATTGTCCACATACTGAGATGTAGGGAGAGCTAATTTGTGATAAAAAAGCGAAATATACATTTCGCTAATGAAAAAGGCTTACCTCATCGAATTCGTCACACCAGGCAGCTCGAGATACCACGAACTCAACATCAGTGCTCATATGAGGCTCAATTATCCTAGAAATAACAAAAGTATTCGTAGACAATAAGCAAAATCTACTTATATAAAAAGCAGAGGAAAACCGAAAGTGAAGTGTTATCAACTAAGAACGTACCCTCCAAAGGCGATAATCAGTCGATATACAGTTTCTCCCTCCTTGACGTCAAGGTCTCTTGAAAAAATAAAAAACTTTCGTCCGCTAAAATAGTCCGGTAGAGGCGGGAGGGATCCAGATTTTCGTGCCGAAGTAGCATTATTACCCAAATTTCTGAAATGAAATGGGTCAAAATCGCACCAAGACGAACATAAGGTTGTGCGAAAAAATGACGCGACTTAAACTACAATTTGTCAACAGCGTTGGTTATCAATGAATCTTCAGCCTCAAAACATCACCGAGAAACACTATTCATAGATTATAGAGTTAAACATTTAAAGTGAAAAAGCAGTGATAAACCACGACAAAAATTCCCAACATTTGAGCTTATTTTACTATGCATATACTGTCAGTACACATTAACAACAAAAGCAACCACCTCACAATGTACCAAGAAATTTCACAAAGGTCGGCCATTAGCTAAAGCTACAGAATAAGAAATGGGAATTGACCGCAGTCCTATTAAGACAGGGTTTTACCAACAAAACAGGTAGAAAATGAGTGACGCCATGATGACGTTCAGTAAAAGCCCTGATAACTTCGAATACAATGGAGATAGAGTCCAATAGCCAAATCATGCTTTACTTATCCAAAGGATTACACAACTGTCTAGTCATGCCAGCAAAAATGACCGTGCATGACAACACACTTAAATCCGAACGTAGGCAGAGGATTGGGCGATTCCATCGAATATTTTGATAGGAACAAGGCTTCATTTGCATTAAAAGAGGGAGGATATTTAAATATGTATGAAAGACTATTCTGGCGCTAATTTGAATGCTCATCATTGAATGGATAAAAAGATGATGCTCACCTCTGAATTTCTTCATCAGTATCCTCATCCTCAACATTTTTACCTAAAATTCCAGCAAAATTTCCCCATCACTGGGTGAAGATAAAGGGATACAAAAGGTCGCGCACATAAATTGTAACGAGGATTAGAAAGTTCAAGATCACGGAGCCAGTTTAGAATAACACTTTAATTTAAATACTGGAGAGAGTTAGCTGTGGGTGCAATAATCAGTTCAGTAAGAAGTCGGATTTACTATCTATGCGGCGTTAGGGCACAAAACCCTACAAAGTAAGTAGACCTAGAGAACATTATAGAACGTTTATTGTAGGCGCAAAGGGGAAGTGTTGAAAAAACCCAAAAAGTCAGAGATGGCGAAAACACCTCCAACGCAATTGCATACCCTTGTAAAATAATTCTCAGAGGAAGTAAACAATGAAAGACTATGTAAAGCACCGATAAGAGCCGAGAAACTATTTCAATAGCCAATCAATTACACGAACCAAATAAATGAGAGTGATATTTAATAACTAAGGTGTCATCGTAAGCCGAACAATATAGTGGACAAAACCAAAGGAGCGGACAAGGTAATAAAGTTGGGAATTGGAGAAAGAAATGAGACTGTATTAAGGTAACATAGGTGAAATATTCAGTGGCAGATGCCATCCAGCCATGATGTCTGTATGCTCCACTCTTAGGATACACAAAACACGAGCATCTGAGAGTTTGACCTGAGGCGTAAAGGAAAGCAGGAAGCCAGCGTTTAAACAAGTGCTCGTTTTCAGTTCCTCCCAATACACTGCAGGCAAAGTATACAAAAACAAAAATCTGGAGGTTATAAATATCGAAAAAGGATTTTGACAAGACGTCAAAGAAGGAATGTTGGGAAATTTCGTCCCAGTGTAGACACTCGATATCAGCAATAGAAGTAAGCACTTGTCCTCTAACAATAACTACACAGAAACCCCAGTCGCTTAAGCGCAACAAGGAGGATAATGGACACCAGGTGAGAAACACTTTCAACCATTCACAAAGCGAATGAAAGCAAGAATTGTTTCACAACTGCCTTTAGGCCTCAACGGTTGCCGAGACTTGTCATTTCTTGTGGTCTTCAATTTCTTATTTCCTGATAAAGCAACGAAGCCATTTAGTAACAAAAAACGGAGCCATTCAGAAAATAAACATTATACTAAATTTTAATAGGTAAAAAAACATACGAGGTGCCTTTGATGTGGATGGGGTCAGAACCTTGATTCGTCGTCTTTTCTGTCGAGGAGGCTTGCTTTTTCCTCCTCTGTCTGAGTCATCCTCATTTTCATTCTCCTCACCTTCTGGATGGGACTCTTCAGAGACGTCTGAGACAGAGGATTCATCGCTTTCCTCGTCGTCCTGGTCAGAACCGTCTGGTCGCCACTCATCGCTATTTGCATCCTCCACCATTGATCCTACGTCGAACAAAGTTACCATGTTCCCAGCATTTAAAAACCATTTAAAGTATACGCTATTTACAAAATCGCCAAACTTACGCCTATGTTATTGGAAGAATCCACCGGGGAGGAGCGATAAAATGTAAAGAAAAAGATGTAAGATACAGGAAATAAGCAGATATAGCAAAATTTTGTTGGAATCGAAGAAAAGAACATGTAGAGAGGAGGCCTCATTGAAATTTAAAGAAAGCTATTAAATGGTATTTAATTTGACAATTGCTGAAATGCTGCACAATTCAGCAACCAGCAATGGCAAGAATGCCGATGGGCAAGAACTCACTCCCAATCACTGTCCACATCGTCGTCGTTACCGTCTGAAACATGGCCGACGGGACTGGGAGCCCGGCCGACACGATAGGGACGCCATGAGACACGCCTCTGAGCTGTGTTACACGCCTGGATCCACTTGTGGGAGGTGATGATTCCCCTTCCTTTCACCGCATTCCATTTTGGTGTATTCGGAAAAGCGCAACTATAAAATTTCGTAAATACAAGGCTGCTGATAACAATCTAGTAGAACAAGCACGCGAAAAGTGAGCACCACTGAACAAAGCTGCAGGAGTCAGTGGCAACAGAAAATTCAGTTGGTTAAACATTACTTCCCTCATTTTTGTAAAAAAGGACTTAAAGGACTTAAACAGATACGAATTCGATTGCAATTAAATTAACCAAGAAGTCCGAATGTCACACATGGTCCAAGAAATTAAGTCATTAAAATACAACTTGTTATTAGGAATATTTAAAAATAGCACTTTTATCAGGAGAAGTATCTGCAAAGATGAATTCAGCACAGTTCAATTTGAGCCACGAAACTGATTAAGATAATCAGAGCTAAATCTCACAGTCAAAAACACGAGTGTGAAAGATAAAGTTGTAAACACTAATAATGCTCGCCCACCGCCTCATGAAAACGAAACAAGAATTGAACATCAACTTAAAAGTTTAGGGCTAAGTAACAGCGTTTCAGAGGCAAAACAAAAGCAGCACATACTAATGCCAGTGATGGGGAGGAACAGGCATACATTTGGGGTTTAAAACCGAGAAATCAGGTAAAAGTGACCCTTGAGTCAGCCCAGGCACGTAAGTAAATCGAGAGATGGTGCTGACAGAAAGAGATCGTCGAACCAATAAATTATAAGGAGAAAGTTCTCAGCATTTGGGCAGACGACCCGATAGGGGAAAATTATGCGCGACGATATAACACTGATCGAGAACATGTATTTCGACAAATGAAAGACTTGACTTAAAGCTTGACGAAATGACTAAAAAGATTTACATGAGGTGGGTGCAGTCGTCAGTCCAATCCTGCCGATATTTGGCCCCCAATCGCAGGCACACCTCTCTGAGCTCCGAGCGGAAGGGATTTTTGTAGCCACTGAAGGCGACCACAACGCCGTCGAGGATGCATCGTCCCTTCCCTTTCACTCCAGCCCTTGCACCTCCCTCTGCCACTGTGCTCGTATCACCTGCTGCTGAACTGACCTCCTGGGCGGCCGACGTTGATGGCGTGGAAGTCACTGACGCTGCCGAGGTAGCCAAAGCAGTTGTCCCTTGTGAGTCCATTGCTAAATGTAACGTAGGAGGTGGATTAAGCGCATTTCTCGAACTCGAAGAGAAAAACAGGTGTTACATTTAAAGTCGACGCAGTGACTAAAATCCTTCGTGTTAATAATAATAATTCATGACTAAACATACAGAACAGAGCCCCGTGTTATCGCACAGTTAACAAAGCAATAACGGTGACGATGCTTTTCAAAAAGGAAACAACCCAGATGAGCCGGTAAGTGGTGCTTTCATACATATGCGAACCCGCGACGATAAATAGCAATGAAGATGGCGGAGTTTTGACGTAACTACATGAATATCCAATGGCATCGAAGTAGAGGCACAACAGACATCCATTTACCAATGCTTTCCCACAAAACAAAATAGATCCAGATTAAACTCAAATTATGTACAGTTGCCCTATTTCGTATTATTTTTATAACCAGTCTCAACTAAAAAAAGCAACTTTACAAATGACAGGCAATGCGAAGTAAACAAACGCAGTCGGAAGCTAAGTGGGATTTACAAAAATTCATGTTACAGAAGACTAATCACTTGAGTCCATTGATTGCGGTGGGAGCCAGTGTGCACAAAGGTTTACTAAGGAAAAATGCAACTGAACGCATTGATACATTATAGCGCGACCACGAAAAACAATAGGCCTCAAAAACAGAAAGTTCCAATGAGTTTGCATCAGCAAGGCGAGCAGACTTGTCAGATTCTTGTTGATTGGGTACTAAAGGTATATTCATGCGACCTACCTTAAAGTGCGGTACTAATAGTACTCAAATAGTTTACAAGCGATTTGGGTTTTAACTATGAAACGTAAAAACAAATAAGCGGGTCCCCTTTAACAATAAATGACCAAACAGAATAGCAATAAAACAACATAGTCGGTCATTGTAAACCTACGGCAAGTTGAGAAAATATGCGTGTTTGTTGGGATGGCTCTAAGGCATTTGAACTTAATTTTAGGGTCAGGAATAAAGTACAAGTATGAGCGATGGAACGATGAAAACGTATAACTCACCAGACCGATTTGCCTGCAGGAGCTTTTGTGTAACTACAAAGTAGAAAAGAACGGGATGTAAGAGATCCCGGGAAGGGAAAAGCGTTATCGTGGATTAAATAATCATTTTGAGAAGAATATATGCCCAGACCATTTTTGCTTTTCAGAAAAGCAACGCAGAGGGGAGTGCAACCCAAAACCAACGAGCTTTGGGAATGAAAATCCTATAGCTGCCACAGGAGGGACCATTGTTCTTTTTTCTTCAGGGACTAATTCATAAGATTTTGTAGTAGGTGAGGCACAGGAGAGGTCATGTCAAACAAAGGAAACATTTAGATAGCCTCCCAAGCAGAACGACAATATGCGGCCATTAGCACTGATTTCCCTAAACCACTGTGGCCCGGAATCAATACCAATTGTAACAAACTGTCAGAGGAAATAAAACTATGAAGTATCCCTAACAGAAACCTGTCGCGAAGGCTGCAGCCTTAATGCTTGAAACATTCGTTATAGCGGATTTTTCTTCCGATTCGCCACTTCTTTTTGCCAGCCTGAATAATCCACCAGGTTTCAGCAACTCGTCACATTCTTTACTCGAGTTTCCCCCTTCTTCCGTCGCCGCGGTTGGAATCACGTCAACCACATCTGGCGTGCGATAGAATCGAATGAAAGCCAGCCCATATTGAAATTCTGTATTGAAAGGCTGTGTACAGTTGACTCTTAATATGTCCCACTTTTGGCAGGAGATAGAAGGAGTGAGCTCACTACTGGAGAATATGCGCACACGATTAAGAGAGACGCCTTTCTTGGCATCTGCAGGAGACATAAGGGATGACGACGGTAGTAAGAGCTCAAATTCCGAAGAATCGGCTCGAGATACCTCGACTGAAATAAATGCAGATGCTTCGTTGCCTATGTCGAGGCGAGTGAACTGAATGGGACAAGCAAATTTGAAGGTGACAGATGCATGTTTCGCGCCAGCTTGCTGACACTTCCACTTGGAAAAGGCACTGACTTTAAGTAGATTGTTGGCGGGGTATGCCTAAACAGAACACGTGATAGTAAAGCTGATAATTTAGCGTTGTATCAGATTCAAACATTTTACTTAAATATTTATTACAAAAAAGCACCTCACCGAAATAAGAAAGTATTGAAGTTCACGACATGATTAATAAAATGAAAGTAAACTAAAGCTAAACCACATTACAGCAAGCGGACCATTTCTACATACCTCATGAAATACAAGCCACCATAAATAAAATCTTCGATCACCATTAGAGAGGGCCCAAAGGATTAAAAGAAGGCACACAAAAGAACAACTGGATCTGGCCAAACATGTGGTACGGCGGATACAGCGATTAAAACAAAGCCGATAAACCCTTGTTTGCAATTTCCACAACTTGAAAGTGGAGCAATACCAAGCCAAAATTGGTCCAGTCAAGAGGAATACCATTTATTTAAGCAGACAGAAGATTCACAACCAATACAAAGTACTCCAGTAAAAGCAACTACCCCAAGCTTCCCCAAAAAGCGAGTCGCCTAACTTCAAGAATGTCACAACGAATCATCGCAGCATAATTGTGCCCAAGATATACAGACCTGCCGTAGCACCACTTAACGAAAAAAACCTTAATAAGTACCAGACGCAACAGAACGACATAGTGATGTGGGTTAACGAAGGCTGCTTGAGATTCAGCAACGGATGCTATGAAATTCTTATCAAAATACCTTATCTTCGCTACTGAAAGACAGTATCCTCTCTGGTCTCACTTCGGGCATCCCAGATTGAAGGGCGAGCCTTGTGGGGGACTAGAGATGCATTTAAACTACTGCACAACTTTGATTAATTTTGAACAGAACGTCTACGAGGTAAATCTGAAGGCCGAAACTATCTAATAGAATAACGTGGTATTAGATAAATTATGGATACCTTCAAAATAATTCTACCTTTTTGTTGTGGCTGCCAGTCATTACCGCAACTGCACAACTCCTTTACAGTAGCATATCAGGTTTAATATAGTGTAATGAGCACCAAATACACCAAGCAAAATAAAATTGCCACACCAAACCACGTCATAGGGGATCCTTGACATCCTGAAACAATTTTGATTACTTTAACTGACTTTGCCAAGTTCTACACTGTGAAAAACCTTCCTGTCAACCCATCATGTCACTAGTTTCATGGATTGCTTCAATGCACCTCTCCAACAGTTTCTAATTTACAAAAGAAAGCCATAAATGCACTGATTTTTTTTTGGAAAATACTCTTTCTGCTCACGCTCATGTATTTTACTGGTATCTGAAATGCAATAGTGGTATGAAATCTTGAAATTTTCTCCTAGCGCTTGCATTAGATTGACTACTGTTCCATTAAGTTGGTTACATTATACTAGCTTGGTTCAAACTTAGCACACTTATGTAGGCATAAGTTGAGGTGCTGCTATCGCATGTACCGACCTCCTGTATCAAACCCTTAACAGATAGGACTGTACTGTAGATATAACGCTCCGGATCATCCCTGTCATAACAAATCCTAAAATTATCAAGGGCTGCATTTTATTGACACAATAGTTTGATTATCAAACTCCTCGTCTTGGTTTCAAGGGCACTTAAGTACAACTGTGGCGACAAAAGTGCAGTGTAATACGATGTTGGTTTGTCTCTCGGTATTGGTGAGGCCCTACTTTTGTACCTTGAATTAGCCCCTTTGTACCTCGCTGGGTGGACTGGCCTTCTGGGCCATGCCAATAGCCCAGACACCTTCTCCGTGCTGAATATATATATTCTACCCGAGTATTTCGTCTTCTTTCGTCTTCAGGGAGTCCCGGGACGCTACACTACTGTAGCGTCTGGGCTATTGGCATGGCCCAAAAGGCCAGCCCACCCAGCGAGGTACATAGGGGCTAATT